AGTCGTTCTTGGACCTTTTTATTTGAAGGTATTTTAGTCTCTAAAAATTGCAAAATTACAACTCCAACAAATAAACTCATTGTGGTTATTAGAATCTTCTTAGAACATAAATCAACATAATAAATTAAAATAATCGAATAATAGAAACGAGATGGTATGAACCATTTCGTCAATAACCCATTGTAGACATACTTAAATAATAAATATAAATATGAATACAAATGTATGTACCTTGGCATATGTCTCTATGTTGCGTCAACAGGTATTTATTAATTAATAACCGGTTACATTATTTCATAACTACATTTAACATATATTTATTACCATCTTTTATATAATATTTTTTTATCGTAGGTCAAGTAGGCAATGAAAAGCAACAAAAAAAAATATATATGTATATACACGCATATTACAATAAAAGATATAACGATTGTTTTAGCGATACTTAAAGCGTGTTGCAAGCGTTTGTATAGCGCGTGCTGAATGTAGTAAAGGAGGTTGCTTGGCTTAATTAAATTAAGCGTTAATTGGTATGAAATTTCTGACAGTTGGAGCAAACAAAAATAATAATAAAAATAACAATATAAAAGTCTTTTATTTTTTACTTGCAGACATAAAGCTATTTTTTGGTATATATGTAGATAAGTGTTTATGTGTTAAAGACAGGCCTTATACATATAATATATGCCGCTCTTAGTGTATACATATATTTTTGCTCACACCAAAACACTAACATTGACCTTTTAGCACTTTATGTGTGTGTTTAAATGGCATAGAAAATATCAAAATAGAATTTTCGAAGAAACGGTTGTTAAGTGTTATTGAGTAAATACATATGTACATATATTTTTATTTTTTTTTTGTTTGGTAAAAGGTGCAAAAATTTTTGAAAAATATTTATAAGTGAATTAACGTCATATAATAACGCCGGGATAATTCATATTGTGGTTTCAAAAGCACAGGGCTGCATTTTGACTACCGTCAATATTAAACGTCAAACCAAACATGTTTTGTTTTAGCTAAAACTCAGGTATTTATTGAAAAACAGCTTAATAAACGTACTACGCGCCAAAACTTTTAAAACCTTTCACAGAAATGGTGAACGTGACCACATCTTTTGTTTTAAGAGTAGATTAGGGTGCACATTATCCGTCCACTACTCGAGCAATTGGTAAAGTTTAAAAAAAATTTAAGGATACTGAGTCTGTTACAGATTGCTCGTTCCACCTCAATATCGCCACTATAAATAAAAGTGTAGCCGAAGACTCGAATGAAGAGCGGCACGTTATGGCGCAGTTTGCGCTTGGACTTGCACTTACATCCATTTAAAGTCCAGCTCACACAACAACTGAAACAAGCTGACCATTCACAACGTCGTTCCTCTATCAAATTGACGCTTAAACAAGATTTTCTTCAGGGACGTGGCACATTTCTTACTCGAGCGCTCCGAAAATCTTCGAATAGTTAAGCAGAGGCTTTTGCACTGATAAAAAAAATTTACTATCTGGTGCGCTCTTTGCTCCGAAGCTATGATTGGACCTTACTTCTTCGAAACAAACAAGCTCGTGACTGTCACTGTCAATTCGGAGCGCTATGGTCGTATTATAAACCATTTATATTTTTGCCACTAATTGAGGAATAAATAATTTATGGTTTCAACAGGATAGTGTCGCCTGTTCCACAACAGGAGCGAATATGGCTTTATTTTGGGGAAAAAATTCTCGGCCGCGTAATCTCTCTCGTCTTGGCGAAGACACAGCTGGACTTTTTTGGTATGGCTACACGGAAACCCTTGTCTATGCGTATGAACTCTTAACTCTTGAAAACTTGAAAGTGAACATTCGACCAAGTCATGGCTGAGAAACCGCGCATTATGTATCAAGAAGTGATCGAAAGTTGCCTCAAACTGATCAAAGTTTGGGCAAATTGGCATGATTTGGGGTGACACTTATAATATCTAGATTTTAATAAAAAGGAATTTTTGTGGAAAATTTCTTTTAAAAACTTTTTATTTACGTTTATTTTTTATAGTAGAAAACGGTTAGCCATGTACATATGCTGCATTAATTATAACTTAATTATTTTAATTTAATTTTATTTAAAAAATTTTCACTAAATTACAAATTTCTGCAGCTTTTAGGCTGAGCTCTTTTTTTTGATCCCACTTTTTTAATTTTAAACTCAAATTTTCTGCTACCAAATTGTCTATCAATTTTTAATAATTATATGGTCATTCAACAACTCCACTCTGCAATTTTTAACACATTTTCCATGATTAATGATCGGCAGATACTTTCGTTTCATTTTCGTTTTTAGATTAAATAGCGATTAGCTGCAATTTGTCTTACTTTGTGAATTTATTTAATTGCAAGCGTAATTATTGTTTGTTGATCTACACAAGCAAGCGTTTGGCGCGCGTTTTGCTTGTTATTTTTGTTGGATTTTTTCTTTGATATTTACTTATCCGGCTTGAATGCGGTTTGATTTGTTAATTTCAATTTTTTTCTTTTAATTGTTTATTTTTTTTTAATAATTTCACTTTCAATTTGTCTGTGCATTTTAACTGTCTTTGGTTGCATAATTGAATTATTTGTTGACTTAATTGCTTTGCTACTAATTAATATGGATTATGTAGGATGAAATTTGTTAATGAGAGGTTGATGAGCACTCTTTGAGTGCTTCGTAAATTTCTCATGCACAAAATATTTAGTTTTTTGAAAAATTTCAGTGATCTAATTTTCTGTTCCATTTGTGCCACTGCGTGAAAGGCATTTGTTGGATTTTCGGAAGACAGTCCTTTTTTTGATATTATTTTAGTCTCGGCTATCGTTTGGTTGACGTAATTTTGTATTTAACGGTAATTTTTTTTAGTAAAAGTTTCACTTCTTTTTATGCCAAGCAGGATAAAATCTCTAGCCATATTTATTATGTCATATATTTTGTTGAGCTAAACGTTAGATTTATATTTTGCCGTTTATGTTCTGCAATATTTGATGTTTGGCAAAAAATTGTTTTTCGTCATATTTTAAGTTTTGCACAATTACATGCTTAGCCATATTTTATGCTATGTAATAGGTTGTGCCTAGAAAAAAAATTAAGTTTTGCCGTATTAGCAAAAAAATTAAGTTTGCCGTATTTTATGTCTAGATGTTTTATGACTAGACATATGTTATGTCTGTCCGTATTATATGTTTAGCCATATTTTATGTTATGTAATATTTTTGTGTTAAGCAAACAATTATGTTTTGCCAAGGTTTATGTTTTGCATTAATTTTGTTTAGAAATTATTATGTTTTGCCATGTTTTATGTTTTGCTATATTTTGTGTTTGACAAAATATACGCTTTTATATTTTGCAATACTCGTATTGTGCGCTTTGCAAAAAATTATGTTTTGACATATTTTATGCTATGTAATAGGTTGTGCTTAGCAAAAAAATTAAGTTTTGCCGTATTTTATGATTTGCCATATTTTATGCCCAGATATTTTATGTCTATACATATGTTATGTCTGCCCATATTTTATGTCTTTTCATATTTTATGTTATGTAATATTTTTGTGTTTAGCAAACAACTACGTTTTGCCAAGGTTTATGTTTTGCATTAATTTTGTACGGAAATTATTATGTTTTGCCATGTTTTATGTTTTGTTATATTTTGTGTTTGACAAAATATACGCTTTTATATTTTGAAATACTCGTATTTGCGCTTCGCAAAAAATTATGTTTTGACATATTTTATGCTATGTAATAGGCTGTGCTTAGCAAAAAAATTAAGTTTTGCCGAATTTTATGATTTGCCATATTTTATGTCTAGATATTTTATGTCTAGACATATGTTATGTCTGTCCATATTATATGTTTAGCCATATTTTATGTTATGTAATATTTTTGTGTTTAGCAAACAATTATGTTTTGCCAAGGTTTATGTTTTGCATTAATTTTGTTTAGAAATTGTTATGTTTTGCCATGTTTTATGTTATATTTGGTGTTTGGCAAAAAAATATACGCTTTAATATTTTGCAATACTCGTATTTGCGCTTTGCAAAAAGTTATGTTTTGGCAAATTTTATGCTTTGCGCATTGTGTTTAGCAAATAATTGTGTTTGGTAATTAGCAAACAATTACATTCTACCATATTTTATATTTTCATTTTCTGCATAGCAAACATTGTTTTCGCCATAATTTATTTTTAACAAAAAATTATGTTTTATGAACTACGGTTCGAATCCTGACCAACATCCGAACATAATAGAAAAGTTATTTGAGTAAAAAGCAAGAATAGAGAAATTTTTTGACTGATATATGACTCAACTTCTCAAATTTGAGAAATATGCTGTGATCGTCAAACAGACGGATAAGTAGAAAGAGAGGCAAGCATAACAAAACAAAATCAACTCAACCTTCCATATGTATGGGCTTTATAACTTTTTAACAGTAGTCATAATAATTATTGTGTTACAATCATTTATAATATTTAATGCTTAGCGTTGATTTTTTACCAATATTTCATGTCTAGCAATATTTTATGCTTATCAGAAATTTATGGCTTGTCATATTTTATCTTTGGCAAAATTGTTTGCTTAATAATGTTGGAAGAATAATAAAGTTTCAATTTTGGTAATACTTTATGTTTAGCAAAAATTTATGGTTTGCCATAATTTATGGTTGGCATAATTTTATGCTTAGTAATATTTTGATGAGTAATAAAATTTTAATTTTGTAAGCATTTTGTGTGTGGTAAAAATTTATGTTTTGCCATGTTACATTTTTTGTAAAGTTTTTAGTCTGGCAATATTTAATGTTAGCCGAAATCTTATTTCTGATAATATTCAACGCTTAGCAGCATTTTTATTCAGCTTTATTTTATGTTAAGCAATTTTTGGCGCACCATTTTCCAACAGTTTTTGAATTATCTCCCTCGCTTATACCATATACATATATACCAATCTACGCTCCTTCAATACAAACATAATCTTTACTCTTCCCCCTCTTCTTTTCAGTTGATTGGGATTTCAATATCCCTTGCAACAGCTTTAGCTACAGTCGATGGAAGTGATGCAAAAGTACGCGCCAAGGCTACAACAGTTAAACCCGCTACAACAACAAAGGCCGCTGAAGGAAATAAGGATAAAGCGACAACAAAAACTGTAGCGAAGCCCTCAACTGCAGAGACTGCGGCACGCAGCGCAAAAGTGCTGAAATCGCCGTCAGCCGGCAACGCGGCGACTGCCAGCGATAAGCGTGGAAAACGTACACTTTACGATTTCGAAAATGCCGGCTATCTCTATCCGGAAATCGCGAGTCGTCGTGCCGGTTACGAGAATGATGGACAGGCGTATTATTCTCAGAGAACCCAAAGTGGTTATTATAACGGACAAAATGCGATTGGTGAGTAAGCGTGCGTTGGCGAAGAGAAAGCCCAAGAGATGGAGAGAAAGAGGAAAAGCTACATGATCTTTGAACTTGTTTTAACGTTTTTTTTATCAAAATATTTTCAGCACAATTCCCCAACAACTATATTGGACCTCAATACTACCCACAATATCTGGAAGCACCTGAGCCCATTATAGAAATCATTATAAAGGATTCTAATGAGACTTTGCCGGAACCTGAACCCCAACCCATTTTGACGAAAAAGAAGAGGGAGAAAGTGCACGTGTTCTATGTGAACTATAAGAAGGATCAAAATAATAAGTTGCATTTGGAGAGTCCCATCGCCTCGCTCAACAACGACGATAACGATGAGGAGGAGGAGGAAGAAGAAATCGTACACTATCCCGTGCCAGCGACACCGGCGCCACCTGTTAAGACCACTACACTGCGTACCATCATTCATCCCGATTCGGAGAAGTATCACAGTAACAGTGGTATTCATGTGACTTTCGGTTCGGAGGATAAATCTCAGGCTGGACATCAGATTGAGGAGCATAATGCAGAGAGCATACAAAGTCAGGTGGTAGCGATACCCGTCGGTGGCGGTAATGCACAGGCTGGCAGTTTCACAACAACAACAACAACAAATAATGCAGAGAGCATACAAAGTCAGGTGGTAGCGATACCCGTCGGTGGCGGTAATGCACAGGCTGGCAGTTTCAAAGCAGAAACGTACAACACGCGGGCGGATTTCGGCGTGAGCGGACAGAGTCACTCGCAGGCTGGTGGTAATCAGCTATACACCGGACCTTTCCAGCAATCGCATCTACAGCAACAAGCAATAAAGCAACAACAACAACAATTGCCATTGCAACAAAGTGGAAACTACTTCCGATCACCGGCCGCGTTAGTGCAACAGCCACAGACGAATTTCTACCAGAAGCAACAACAAACGCAATACCAATCTCAGCAACCACAACAACAGTACTCTCAGCAACAGCACTCTCAACAGAAGCATCAACAACAACGCCCGCACTTTAGCTCGCCATCTAGTAGTGTGGCTGCTCCGCCTCCGCTACCACCACCAGCGCCATCAACCCAACCGCTGCCAACACTGCAACAGTTACCTCAACTACAAGCTCAGTTCCGCAAGACCTTCAGTGCTTCCAGTTCACCACAGAGCCATTATTACGCAAACCACAATCAACAGTATCAGCAACAAGCCAGCAATCAGCAGCAATCGTTCTTTAACAGCCCGATTCAGAAACCCACAGCCGCGCCACAGCAGAAGCAGCTCAGTTTCTTCCCCACTGCACCGCCAAAAACTCAGGAGCTACCCGCACGACAGTCAGGCTTGCCTTATCAGCCCGTCAAGTTTCGTCCTACTTTATTGCCGGTGCAGCCACACATCAAACAGGTTCCGATCCCGACTAAATTGGAAAACACCAACTATCAGTCGGCGCAATCACAGCAACAACAACAACAATATCATCAACAGTCTGCAGCGAAAGCCCCACAGAGCTATCACTCCCAGCAGCCCTACCAATTTAATCGTCAGCCTCAGTTCGTGCAGCAGCCAACGTTCTCTCTGCCTTCGCCCCAGCCCCAAGCGCCATCGAGCGTTGGCAGTACTAGCAGCAGCAGCAGCAGTAACGGCAACAACAACAACTACTTTAAGCAGACATCTCAGCAGTCGCACTCGCACTCACAATTGCTGAACCAGAAATTGGCTTCCAGTCGTTACCAGCCTCAGCAGCCACAGCAGCCACAGCAGCCGCAGCAACAGGCACAACAATCCCAACAACAACATTCTCAATATCAGCCAGCTCAATATCAGACTCAACAACATCCTATTCAACACCAATCATATCAGCAACAACAACAGAGCTCCCAACAGTCTTATCAACAACAACGACAACAACAACAAAAGCAACAGCAACACTCCCAACCCTCCCAACATCAATCCTACCAAGCCCAGTCGAAACCCCAACAACAAAACAATATCAAGCCGCTAGCATACCAAAACCAACAGAGCAGCCCCACTGCAGCCTCGTTGCAAGCGTCAGCAGACCCACTCAGGTCCTTGCACAACTATTTCGGTGCACAGCCTTCCAAGGAGACTGAGTTGCTGAAGTCGATACCGAAATATGAGCAACACATAACTGAGACCATCGAGACTCCAATCGGTGGCATCGGTGCCTCCGCCGGCGGCAGCAGCAGCCAGTACAATGGCCTTGGTAGTTTTGGCTATCAAACACAGAATCAAGTTTTACATGATATACCGGCGCCCCACTTGGGACCCACACCTGCACCTAGCCAGCAATCCTACCAACAACAGCAACATCAACAACATCAACAGCAAAGCGAAGCAAGCTCTAATTACGCCAGTGGAAACTCGGGTTCATCCGGTCTTTCGCTCGATACGCATTACATTACAGCCGCGGCCTTAGAGTCAGTGAGAAATCAACAACAACATCAACAACAGCAGCAGCAGCAGCAGCAACAGCAGCAGCAGCAACAACAGCAACAGTTCAGCAATTTTGTAACGGCACAAAATAGTCATCCTTCCGCCTATCCCACCACAACGCCAGCGCCACCTCAATACGCGCAAACCACCGACGGCGAGAAGATCATGATCATAACACCGATGCCACCCACAACTTACAACCAATATCAATCCAGTCAGTATCAGCAAGAAGCGAGCGCTACTCAAGTGCTCGCTAATTCACCGCAGGTTCAACCCACCACGTACTTCGCACAGCAACCCCGACAATCAGTTACTGGTAGCCTCATCTCGGCAACTGTACCTAATGCCGCTGGCTCCGCAGGGAACTTAGCACAATTTGGCGTCTCCACGTTGCATTCGGATGTCCTTAAAGAACTCGAAAACCGTCGTGTTGAAGACAAGGCGTCTGTAGGACAGTTTAACATCGGGTCGCAGGTGTCGGACAGCAACGACAAGCCCTACCTGCCGCCCACACAAGCCAGTGAAAACATCAATAATTACGCCCAAACTTCTACCACAAGCAGCACTGCCACCAGCAGCAGCGTACAAACGATCGCACAAACTGACGTAGAAGACAGCAGCAAAAGTGCTAAAGCTTCACAAACCTTACTCCAACTACCCGACGAAGTACCAGATGATCTGCGTCAACAGCTGCTCTCCTCTGGCATTCTTAGTAATGCCGATATTTCCGTCTTGGACTACGACAAAGTAGGCGATGTCGCTCTGGAGAACCTACCTGCCGAGCATTTGCAACACTTCTATGGCGCCGGTGGTGCTGCACAAATTTCCGCCTCGAAGAAAGTAGTTACCGTCGTTAAACCAAATGGCGATAAGGTCGCTTTGAGTGAGAAAGATATCGAGCGTGTCAAGGAATCCAATTCACTGCCGCACAAACAGGGCGTGGATGTGAAAGTAGTACATTTTGATGCAGAAAATGAGAAGAGCATTTCGGAGAAATATATTAAGAGCGACGCTACTGTGGTGCCTCCAGTTGATCTCGCCGAGCGACAATACAACCGTTATTTACCGCTGAAAATTAATGGCGCTCAGTTCCCTTTACCAGACAGCGAAGAATTACATGGCAAGAAGGTAGTGAGTGTTGTCGTTCTGGCTCCAGTAGAAGCCCAACCACCAGCGGGTGGCAGCAATGAGCGACGTAGTGAACGTGAGACCTCAGTCGATGATAAGGAAGTGAAATTCATTGGCGGTGACCTCATAAGGACTTTGGTGAAGAAACCTACAAAGGAGAATTTCAAACGTTGGTTGGAGAAGGAAGCACGCACAGAGGTGGAGCAGCAATCGGTGGTGCTCTTGGTAGCGAAGTGAGTATAACTTTAGTTAATCCTCTTAGTATTTAGCTCGCGTACATTCTCAAGTTTCTGTGGACCCTGGATAAAGGTGGAGAGGTTCTTGAATTATTCTTCCAGCGGGCTTTCAAGTTTGAACCCTTAATTATTTCCTCGACTCAGCCATATACCCTCTTTACCTTCAGCAATTTTCGCTTGTCCAATAACACATCCAAGGGAAGAAAGCTAGCGAAGTTCTTGTTTAGTGCCAGCGCAGAAACGCAGCATTCTTCACCAGTGCCAAAGCACTACCATATCTTCATGGCTTCCGATTTCCATTTCTACTTCAGTAACCGAGTTTTGGCTTTAAGTATAAGGCAGGTAGCTCAAACGGTCGCTCCATGCGAAGATTGGTGTCAGACCTCCCCTTGATGTTCTAGTTTTTTTGAGCTGCTCAGTGCCACTAGATCCCTTTGGATCGAAAGTATTAATCGAAAGATGGATGCGGGCGATATATCAGAATTTATTTTATTTTTCACTTATTCTATGCAGACATTTTGATCTCTCATAAATTTTCTCTTCTTCTTAACTCTCACTTTGACAGATCCAATGTGGATGCCGAGCAAGAGATCTTCATGTACGACATCGGTACAGGTGCAGTGAATAAATTGAATGGTGAACTTTCGAGTGCTTTCGTGAATGTGGCCGAAGAGAATGCCAGCTCCGAAGATTTAGAACATGCTTCCACCTTGGACCCCAGCGTATTGGAGACAATGATGCAGAAGACTCGAAGATGAGCGTTGCGCGAAGCAAATAAATGTGCCACTTAAATGTGCGAAATAAAGCCATTTCCAAAAGAGAAAAATATAAAATCACTAACTAAGAAGAGAGAAAAGAAGAGAATTTATATAATGTGACCTGTAGGAAATATATGTATGACGACAGAACGTCAATATACTGCAAGCAGACTACACATATTTAAATATTTCGCACACTTATAAAAACAGTAAATATTACGGAAATTAGGCTTACTCTCTTCCTCTTCTCTTCATTTCTTTTGCGGTTCGACATAGCACTTGATTTTATTACTTTTTCGAAAACGTTTTCAAATCGATATCAAAATTTCTTTTTCATATTTCCTTAGCTTATTCGTTTGAGTCTCGCTATTTAGCTTATGATTTTATATTTTTCTAATTTTTGAAGTTAATTTTGTGAACTACTTTTTTTATTATTTCATTTATTGGTATAAACAAGTTTTTAATCTGACTTTTTCAAGTTTGTCTTCAAGTTTTCTATCTTTCGGCTGTTCTTTCGCTTTTGTATAAAGTTTATAAATTTGTTTATTTAATTAATTATAGTTAATTTTTATACAATAAAATTTTTGTACATATGAAAATTATAAAATAAATTAAAGAACTATTTTTTATGTAGTCCAAAAAATTTGTAATAAAATTTATAAAAAAAATATATATAAAAACCCAAATCACGGCTTTTTCTTCATAGTGTGTGTGTCCGTATGTAGGTCAAAAATTTTAAGGAAGAAATTTAAAATAAAATAAAAACAAAGATATAAAAACAGTAAATTAAATACATAAAATTATGTAAAATTAAATAAAAAATTAAAATTAAATGAAAAATATAAAATACAACGGAAAAGAAGAAATGAAATAAAATAAAAAATTATAAAAATAGAAGAACTGATGAAAACTTAAAGAAAAATTAAAAATATAAAAAAATATAAATAATTCAGGCGAAAGGAAATAAAATTTAAATATATAAATCAAATAAAAAAATAAAAAAATTTATAAAAAAATTAAAAATATGTATAAAAAATAAATAAAAACAAAAAAGAAAAAAATTTAAAGGAAATTTAAAATTATACTTTATAAAAAAAAAAAAAAAATAATTAAAGCAAAAGCTTTATTTTAGTCCTTAAACTAAATAAAACTATAAAAACATATACAAAGACAAATATAAAAAAATAAAATTAAATAAGAAAACAAAAAAATACACAATAAAAAATATAAAATATTAAAAACCTTAAAAGAAAATACAAAAAATTAATACAATAAATTAATACAAAAAAAAATTGTTAGAAAACTGAATTAAAATACAACTCTGCAACTGAATACTTACAGCTACCGTTTGAATACATTAAAAAGGTAAAGGATAAGTCGTTCAAGAACTATGAAGATTAACACAAGTGTATTATTTAATAGGCCGTAAGTGAAGTCTGCGATAAATAATACAACAAAAATTAATTGAATATAAATTAAAAAATTAATTAAAAATCAATAAAAAATTAAAAAAAAAATCTAAATGAAATGTAAATTAAAATAAAATAATAGTAAAAAAATGTTAAAAAAAATAAATAAAATAAAATAATAAAATAGAATGAAATAAAAAGCAAATAAAAACAAAAATGAAATTTAAAGGAAACTTAAAAAAATATTAAAATATGAAATTTATACATTATAGTAAAAAAGGAATAAAATAAAACAAAATAAAGTTAAAAATTTAATCTTAAATTTAAAATATAAAGAAAAATTAAATAACTTAACTTAAGACAGATTTTCTTTGTATTTTTAATTTTAGGACTTAATTTTTAACCTGGTAAAATAAATAAAAATGAGAAAATACACAAATATAGAAGATTTAATATAAAATATTAAAAAACGTAAAAGAGATTATAAACAAATGAAACAATTTTCAAATAAATTTAAAAAAATATAAAATTTTAATTAAAAAATTAATTTAAGATTTATAAAGAAATTAAAAAATATACATATTTCAAAATTAAAAACAAATTAAAAAAATAATTTAAAAAAATAGTAAAAAAATAAACGAATAAATTAAGAACACAGAATGAAATGAGAAATAAATTAAACTAAAAATTAATTTTTTTTTTTAATTTTATTGGGAAACCCAAAAATATATTAAAATAATGAAGAAATGCAAAAATTTTAATATTAAGTAAAATAAAGCTTAAATAAAATAAAACAAATAATCAAATTAAAACTAAATTCCAAATCAATAAAAAAGTTTAAATTAAAATAAAAACTTAAGAACCAAGAGATATATTAAAAAAACTTTCAATGAAATGAAAAATTCATTAAAATGCAAATTAAATAAATTAAATAAAATAATTAATTAAATAAATAAAAAATAAAAATAAAACTTAAATAATAAATTTGAAATTTAAATAAATGTAAATTTTAATAAATGTAAATTTAAATACTGAAAGAAAAATCTGTAAATAAATAATAAAAATACGAATAAAACGTACATATTTAGTATAATAAAAATAATAGATTATTTAGAAAAATTAAAATATATATACAATAAAAAATAAAATAATTGCAAATAAAAATTTTAAAATCTCAACAATAATTTTCAAATTTGAATCAGTTATTAACACATACAAAAAAAATTGAAATAATATAAAGAAAGAAAAATATAAACACCATAGCACAATTAAAACCCAATTATCGTTTTGTAATCAACCCCATATCACTTCAGAACTAAACGCTTAATTAAAGTTGTGATAAAAACTTGCTGCTTATCTATAAATAAATAGTTGACAAACAAGAAAACAACAATAAAATGTAGATATTCATTTATCGCACACAAAAAATATAATATATTTCCAAGTGAGAAAATATTTACTATGGTGTCATTTATTGATATTTTTCTTAGGCCAAGCTTAAATGCCACCCTTTTACATAACCACGAAAAAAATATTTTTATAAAGGTAATTTCGAAAAGCTCGGGTTGAAATCCCGCTGCCACCAACATCAAAAAAGTTATGGAAAATTTATTTAAGTCCAAAATTAATTCAAATACTAAATTAAGTTAAATTTTCTAATTGCGGTCGCCTCTCGGCAGGGAATGTCATCTCCTCCGAGCGTATTTAGAACTCGAAATAAAGGCTCCTAAAGGTGATTTCATGTAGAATCCGAGAAATTACATACTTTTCCTTATCAAGCTGATTTCATCTGAAATGATATACAGCACACATCAGTTTTGCAGTGAATTCTACGAGAAAGACTATGGTCTTTCTTAAATCAATTGCAAGTGGCACTGAGAGGACATTTAGCTTCGAGTAATCGGTGAAAATTCCTATCGGCTTATGATGCAAATCTGTTATAACCCTCTTCTTTTTCAAACGTAAATTTTTTCTGAAGACATTTTGTCCCTAGCAGCCTCAGCAGTTGTTTGGTGAGCCATCATTTCCTATATCAAGTGATGCAATGTCCCTGGCTAGATGACGTAGCAGCTGCGAGACGACAGTTGAAGACTCCCTATTTTGAAAACATGAATTCCATGAATAGTTCCCAATTATCTCCAAACGTAAACTTAACTTTTCGTAGACCGCCATCCTGAGAGCTTCAAAGACTTTCAAAGCAGTAAAGATCCAGTAATGAGTATGGATGACGTCCTTTAAACTTCAGCTTTTGCCGTAATACAATTTGTCTCTTATATGTAGATTATTTAGAATGTGGAGGTGTTTACCAGTTGATGTATCATTAGAGTATGCCATTTTTTCACAGGCTTTTGAAGCAACGTTTTGCCTGTGAAATACCAAAGAAGGGGTGCGAGAACTCAACTCTGTGGGGTGTCTCTTTTGGCAAAGAAACCCTGTTTTATTCAATAATTATAATTCTTAGTTCATTCATAGAGACCCTGACCCTTGCCCCTATTGTTAAAAAATTAGCACAATCGATTTTCACAAGCTTCTCTTGAGGCAAATTTATCACCTACCAAATCATTTGCCATGGATAGAAACAAAGGGTAATCACTTGGCGCGACGTTCAGACTATCAATTGTATGGCTTAGTATCTTAAAAGTAAGCTTCTGGTGAGTCACTATCGATGTGTCTGATCTCACGTTGTACTAATGAAACAACATACCCCTGCGGTTGGCAAAAGCTTTTGCTTCTTGCAGACCGGCCAATTGCTGCAGTACTGGTCGGAATTGGGAGTTTGGTCGTAGGGGTGTAGCTCATTCTTTAAGGTTTTTTCATCAACTCAGGTGACATCCATACATCGAGCTTCTTTGTGTATCTAGCTGTAAACACTATTCACATTTCCTGCCGCCCGACTTGAACTTTCGTCTTTATCTAAGAAGAATTGTAGAACGTACCGAATTTTCCCTTTGCTGGTATCCTTCTTAGACATGCGCTTAATCACCATTTCTAATCGCTTCCTTCGTCATCTTTATTAGTACAAAATATTATCTCTCCAACCCCGTCTTATGTAATCCAATCGCACTAATAAAGGTTAATTTTTTAGCTATTATCTTTGTGGCAAAACTGGCTTAAACAGCTTACGAACGTTTCGTCAAACATCATCAGTTTGGCTTATAGTTTAACCATAAATCGTCTTACAAACGAACAAATTATTGTTCTGTTAAAAAAGTTGATCGCGCGCTGCTTCCAAGCGCTTGAAAGTTCATTTTTGACTTAATGGGTACGCACATAAGCGGAATTGTCGATTTTGGAGTGAAGATCAGCCAGAAGCCTTGCAAAAGCTACCAATGCATCCAGGTAAAGCCACAGTTTGGTGCATTGGTTAGTTTATGGGCTCGTGGCATCATTGGACCGTCCTCCTTCAAAGATGATGCGAATCGCGACGTAACTGTGAATGTTGAGCGCAACCGTGAGATGATATCAAACTTTGTTTTGCCCAAAATGCACGAGCTTGACATTCATGGCATGTAGTTTTTTCAACAAGACGGTGCCACATGCCACACAGCTTGCGTAGCAATAGACTTATTGAGAGGCGAGGTCAGTGAGAGCTTAATATTTGCATGAAATGATCTTCGAATCGTAAATTATATTGACCTTACCATCGATTCAAATAGAGATTCCATGCATTTTTCT